AGAAATTTGGAGAACCGTTGGTCTTACCCATGCTTTTGAAGTCTCTGGGAAAAAGGTGGTGGCGGCCTCTCTTGTACTATTCGAGGAGGGTGTTTTATTTAAGTATATGGTAGGTTTTTCTTCAAGTCTTTCAAACTTTGGTTCTTCTTTGTTATAGTCCTCCCTAACAATCTCCTCTAACTCCTCACTCCTTAGTCTAATGGTGTTGCACTACTCCACATTTTGGTCCTTTGGATTCATCACTATGTTATTTGGTAACGTCTCTTGGTGTTTTTGACTCAATGAGTTAGCTAATCACTGTAATTGCGTTTCAATGTTTCTTATGATTGCAGTATGACTCTGTATTTGATTCTCTATATTCACTACCAATTTTTTGAAAAATACTTTCTTCTTCCTAAAGTAGGGATTATAAGTGAATTTAGGTTGGTAAGCTTTTCTCAGGTTACTGCTACTATGGTTGTTCTAATTTTCTATAAGATTGGATTAGTTGTTACGTCACTGCTAGTTTCCTACAATTTGTTTATTATTATTTTAGTTGAAATTGTGGTGGTTCTTCTAGCTTAGATAATAAGTATTGGAACTTGTGTTGTTGAATCTATTTCTTTTGGCATTGAGTGTCTCTAGAGAAGCAGTACTAGATTCACCTACTTGTTCATAAATAATTTTATCACTTGGTAGGGATCTTTGATACTAACTTTTGAAGTTATGATCGCTAAAACATATGTTATGAACGTTGACTACATTCCTAGGGATAACTCTCGGAGGGCCATTGAAAATTATTTGTAACTATTTTTTCAATCAATGAATAAGTCTCCTCAAATGATTTGGACATTAGAGACCCCAATTACAACATCTATGATTGGCCTTAATGATCCCGCCAGCCTATTATAGAAAGTTTGAATGATCAGTTAGATAGGGCGTGATGCGGCATTTCCTAAGAAATTTTTTTAATTTCTCCTAGTTTTTATAAATGTATTTACCATCTAACTGGGCAAAGGATGTGATATTATTTCTAAATTTGGTAGTCTTAGCTCGAGGGAAAAACTTAGTCATAAATTTTTGAGTTAGGCCATTCCAAGCAATGATCGACACTGATACTAAAGAGTTCAACCACATCTTAGTCTTATTTTTAAGTGAGAAAATGAATAATCTAAATCTAATAACGTCATTAGAGATACATTATACCTAAAGGTGACACAAAGTGTTAGAAAACTGGCGGTATAATGGTTAGGGTTTTCTGTGGGTGATTCCGCAAACTAATTATTATAAATCATTTGGATGATGATATGTTTGAGTTCAAAAGAGTTGGCTTTTATGACTTGGTTATTGTTCTTCATTATTGCCACTAGTTTTTTTTTTTAGGTTTTATGATTTTTCGGATTTTTATGGATGTTTTTTCAACTTTAGGGTCAAAAGACACTAAATTAATGATTCCAGCCATACATATGCAAGTCTATAACTGACAAGTGAGTGACCTCAAACTAGCAAAAGACCACAATTCAATAAGCAAAATTTTCTAAAAAATAAAGTAAAATAAGAATATATGCAAAAAACAAAAACAAATATTATAAAGCACGATTTTTATTGGATTTTTAATAACACGGAAAATAATAAGAAAATAGTAAAAATAACAACAAAATAAGTTTCAAGTTCATATTCTAAAGGTTTGATCAAACTTCTCCTATAATAGAAATTTAATAATATTCCTCGACAATAATGTCAAAAAGTTGATGTCAGATTTATTGTGAAACACACGACAATTACACAAGTATACGCGTTGTTCTAGTAATATATGGATTTAAGTTTGTATATCGATCTCACAGGAGACTTATTAATTTCCATAACATGCTAAAATCTTATTTACAAATCCTAAGTTCAGCTTGAATGTTTGAAATTTTGGTGAATTTTTAAAGTGTTTAATCCTAAATTGCAAAAAAAGATCCTACGGAATGTGATTAGGGTTTTTCTGACTATGATAAAAAAAATATTAATGTGATTAAATCGTGTAATTCTTCGATATTCTTCGAATTGATTTTGAAATGAATGTTATCAGCCATGGGCAAATTATTCTTAGCATTTTCAAAGGTTATAAGAAGCGTTAAAACCTCGTATTTCAGTTAAGTTAGCTTAATGCAAAATTTCCCCATATTTCTCAAGTCCCCTATCCAGGTTGCAATATTCTACTAACCACATTTTTATTCTACTAGATTATTGTGTGTTACCCCACTTGTTATTCTATATGATAGTGAAAAATGTTATATGAGGAGATTTTAATATTTCAATTGGTCAGATTGAAAGTAAAATAAGATTGAAAGAATAACACAATAACATGCGGTTATTTTAGGGAAATCTTAGAGAAAATTCATGAAAAATATGATTCATGACATTATCAAATCATAGAAGCATGAAGACACTTAGTTGTCACACATATTTGAAGAAAACAACGATAAATCCATTTAAGTCATAAAATAAGTGTTTGCAAGCAAAGTACGATATAATCATAGTTTATCCTTTTTGAATTACACCGCAATACTCTCCTCACAGTGAATTTTCCTTGTTTTGATATTCAAAGTACAAGCACTAACTTCTTTGCAAATCTCTTCCAATTCTCATACAAGTTACAGATCTCTAAATGGTGACAGGAAAAAATGTGATAATTTTATTCCTCTTTTCTGTCTCTCCACACACTATCCTTCCTAACCCTCCAATTTAACCCATCGGACATGAAACGAGGTCAATTAAACATCACAAATTGTAACCCAGCGCATTTGGTTGTTGGATCTTTGGCGTTGGGGTATTGGGACCTAGCATTTTGGGGTTGAGCACTTGGCGCGGGATGTCAAACTCTCTGGGTAGTGGGGGCAAAAATCTTGGTAGTGGGCATCTAGCGCTGGGTCCTAGCGCCTGAGCGTTGAGCTGTTGGCGTTCACTTTTTGTCTTCTATGTATTTGGTGCGTCCCCTAATTGGGCGTCTGGGTGTTGGATCCTAGGCTTCGGAGCTAGTTTTGGTGGCTAACCTGGGAGCCAGTTCTGGCGATTTAGTCGCATTTTCATCAATTTGTTCTCCCAACAATCTCCTAACTTGTATCCTGCAAAAGATAACAAAAACACATTTATAAGCGTAAAACTTACGTAAAAGTGGAATAGAACACAACACTAAAAATCATATTTACACACCAAATCACATCCAGTTGATAGGTTGGTTGATCTTTATTTGATCATGTGCATGTGCGACTCATTTGATCACATGCATCTCATTGCTCTCACATTGACGTGCGTGTATTATCACGTTCACGATCCCTATTTAATCTCATGCATTATTGGGATCACAATCTGCGTTCATTTGAGCACATCTCACCGCGTTTGTGATCTTTATTCTACCATGAGTATCTTGCCACGATCATGATCTCCATTTGATCACATGCATCTTGATGTTGTTGTGGTCGACATTTGATCGGGCATTTCTCATTGCTATTTTGACCTTTGTTAGACTGTGTGCCCCTTGCTATAATCACAATCATGATTTGATCAGATACTCGCCACTGTCGTGATCTATCTCATTTGTTTATACACAACTTGATGTGATCACAATCCTTGTTTGACACTTACATTTTCTTGCGCTTGTGACCTCTGTTCTATTCTTGCATCGTATCATGACAGTGTTTGATTTGAGCTTGGTGAGTACAAATTATTCGTTGTTTAAAATATATTTGGGTTGAGGCTTGATTCTAGATTTGCTAAAAAATTGGCTTATATGAATTTAATATTTTATATAAAATTTCAAAAAAATAATTCCAGCAGGTTTAAGGCATTTTTGAATTCAGAACAAAGGGGTTCCTAATATTAAGGTTTCGTTTGAGAAGGCGGTTAAGCATCGCCTGTTGCAACGAATGTCGACACGTCGTTTTTTTGGAGTAGCATTGCGCAAGCATCCCTGAAAGTTAGTTTGCAAGAATGACAATTTTTCACTGTTTGACATCGCAGGCAGCCTAAGTCTACAACTCCACCCTAGCCTCCCCGTTAGTGCCTACATGGGATTGCTATCCAAAGGCCTACCGCCTTTACCACATTCTGAGCTGCCTCCACAGCATAGGATGCAGGCTTGACATCCCTCGGTTATTAAAACGTAATCTCAATATTCACTGAAAGAATACCATGCCTGTCTTCATTCACATGGCGGCCCAACACACCGGCGTTCATCACCCATATTTTTTTTAACGTTCGGCGCCAACCATTTTGAGGCTTAATTCATTGACAATATCTTAATTCATTGACAACCATTTTGAGGTTTAATTCATTGACAACCATTTTGAGGCTTAATTCATTAAGCCTCAGTTATCTTGATCGGTTTAAAAAACAATGCATTAACATTAGTAAAGTAGGGTGAAATTTGAGTTTGCTATATTTAAATTAAAAGTCATTTTTATTAAATATTTTGTATTAAAATCAATTTTGATATTAAATTGTTGATATAATATTTTTAAATTTAAAATCATTGTTTGCATTTACATTCATGCATTTAATATATATGTTAGATATTTAATCATTAAAGCTTGCCCTTATTAATATTAAATTGGATATCATTTTTTGTTTTAAAATAAATTTTATGAACTTCACCTGTCCCATTAATGAAATAAATAGGTCTGTATTTAAATTAAATAGTTTTAGCAACGGTAGAGTTCAATTTAATATTAACAAAAACGATTGAATTTAAATGTAAATCCAACATTCAACGCCCAAGTTTTTCATGAATATTTACTTTTTGGTTCTTCAAGATTAATATTATTTGCTTAATTTTGAAACCTAATTTTGATATAAAGCAAAGTATGGAAATTATTGCATTTTGTGGTCATTATTTTTCATGCTTGTAATAAATTATAGTAGTTTTTATATAACTCGAGAAACGACATGATTTTAAAATATTGTCTAATTTTTTCATATCTTTGATAAATATGACCTTGATCATGCACTTTATGAATTGATGAGTGGTGTGGTGGTAGTTTGGCCCAGGAGGACATGCCTATGTTTATCTTTGCTATGGTCTCCACGTGATGCTAAACATTGTGGCTGATGAGGAAGGAGTAGGCGCTGCAGTGCTGATACGCTCTTGTGCCCCTGTTAGTGGTATTGCTCTTACTTGGATGCGAAAACTAATTTTTTATTCTTTTAAGATTGGGAAGGTTTGATTGGCTCACTATTCGATTTTGCACGGCATGCTAATGTAAATGAGTATTTATTGGTGATAGCATATTCCTTTTTAAAATATTAAGGCATATAGTTGTGCTTTTGCCTCACATCTCATATGTTGACATTAGATTTAGTTTTCTTAACACTTTGCACTTCCTTAGACTGCCTAAAATAATTTTCCACTCCTTGTTTGCTCTCTTGCAATCAGAACTTGTAATGTAATTGTAAAAAACTGGTTTGGAGAGAAATAATTCTCTTGATTTTTTTTAGAAAGCCCAAATGCTAATATATTAAAAAGAAATAAGGATACGTATAGATTGTGTGAAAGAGCCCAAGTATGACACCCTTTCTTCACGATAACCACCACATACAAAATGTTTCAAAAAGAGAGAAAATACAGAAAATTACATGAGAGACCTAAAGAAAAAAAAAAAATAAAAAAAGGCCAAAATACGTAGTATCAGGTAGCTAAATAGCGACCCAATTTTGATTTGTCTTTGCCCCTAGTTCTAGGAATGGAGTCAGCTAATAAATTGGTAAGAGGAGTGTCATTGTCAATAGTGACCAAAGTATCATCCAATAAGTTCCCGAGCTCGAGTCGGCCTCTAGTTTTCTTCTTCCTCCTAGAATAGATCTGTCATTCCTCATCTAAAGATTGGCTCGCCTGATAAGTTGATTGGTCTAAAGTGTGTCGGACATGTATAGGATGTTGAACATTAAAAATAACTGATTATTGTACCAGCTGATTTTTTATTAGATCAAAGGAGCACTATCGTGTGTCTTGGCATGTAAGTGAGTCTTCTTCAATAACAGTGAGTGGTAACAGTGAGTGGTATAAGTACTTTTGGATCTTTACCTGTAGTATGGTGTTCTTCTTCAGAAACTGCGATGCTGGGTAGAGGATCAGGTTGCACCTTTTCAGCAGGGATGGTAGGTGGCTGATCTTTAACGATATTCGGTCTTAGATAAGGATGCAAACGATAGTAAACAGTAGAACTGTGGCTAAACATATTACAATGAGAGCAATAAGGAGGGTGTGGTTCTATTTCAACCTTTTGTCAATACCCGTTATGAGTGGTTTCAATTCATACCTCATATGGAGCTGGTTGAGTGATATCCCTCTCAACTAACACACACGCCACAGAGGGTTTGGTAACAGCAAGCATAGGACTATCAACTTTGAGAGGCTTTCCGTAAGCAGTTGCTAAGGAGTAGAAAATTTTCATGTTGAACAGTTGTAATTTTAACCCCGGAAGCTTTATCCAAATAGAAATGATAGGAGACTCCGCTTTTGGATCAAAATTGACAGTACATTTCAGAATTTTCATAAAACGGTTGTCAATCTTGATAACTTTTCGAGAAAATATACGAGTGTAATCAGCATCATGAGATAGTTGAATAAATATATGCCGACCGTCAATTGATATAATATTTCAACTACTCAATAGCTTCATAGCTTCAAAATCTTTTCTAACGATCTCAAGTTTTGGGTTTTCATAAATGAATTTTTCCACTAGAGCAAAACACAAAAAAGATGCGAGAGTACTGGTTTCAACTTCAGTGAGAATAAGAGCAGGCTACCCATTTTTATACCAAGCTTTTTAATAAAAGTGTGATCCCCACTACCTTCAAGAGCCTCGTGGAAGGATTGTGTAACATTGCAGGACTTATCAATATGGAAACCAGACGGCGTAGCTTAACAAATTGTTGTGTAGTGCGAAGGAGGAAACCGAGATGGTCTTAGAGAAGAAGAAAGTAGCGGCAGAAACAAAATTGTGGGAGGAGGGGGTGTCGAGCAGAAACAGTTGCGGCGTAGCTACCGAGTGGAAGTCGCAAGCACTGCACACGACGACGACGCATGGTGCAGCCAACGTGAGGTCGCGAACCTCTGCCAGACACATCGACCGCACGACGCTGCCCGACAACGCGAGCTCTTCAGCTAGACTGAGCCGACGACGAAATTGAAACTGTGGAAATCAGAGTACGACGCGATATTCACGCGATATCCACGCGCAGCAGACGCTAGGGTTCGCCGTGAGGCGAAACCCTAGCAGAACGGAGATAGAGGTGTCGAAAGCAATCTCTCCTAATTTACAAACTTATCAAATATATCTAACTTAAATTATGAAAGGAAATAATTATTAAATAAAAAAAAACATAGAATGGGAAGGGAATAACTAATCAAGATTTTTCTAAGTTATCCAAATCAAATTTTCTAGGATCTTTTCAAATTTTCTCTAGGTTTTTTTCAGATTTTCACACTCCCTCTCAAACTGGGTCATGGATGTTATAGAGACCAAGCTTGGTATTGAACTCTGAAAAGGTGCTTAAATGAAGAGGTTTGGTGAAGACATCAACAACTTATAGGTGTGTTGAGATGCAGTTTAATTGTATAATTCTCCCATAAATCTTTTCAGAGATGAAGTATCTATAAATTTCAATATGTTTGGTTTTGTTATGATGCATAGGATTCTTGGCCATATTGATAGCTGTTTGGCTATCACAGAACATGTGTATGGGCTTATTGGAGGTACATCTCAATTCTCTTAACAATTTATGAGTCTAGATCCCTTTACTGATTCCCAAGTTGAGTGTCCTATACCCTGATTCTGCACTCATAGAAACAACCACTCGCTTCTTATTTCACTTTGTCACTAGATTTCCTTATACACATGAGTAATAACTTGTGGTGGACCTTTTATCAGTGAATTCTCTGCCCAACTAGCTTCAGTGTAGACTTCCACTTCTCTATTCTTGGTTTTCTCAAAAATTGATCCATAATCAGGCGTATTGTTGAGAAATCTTAGAATTCTATACACCATTCTCAAAGTGTTGTTCATTTGGGCTATTTATGTGTTGGCTTACAATAATGATAGAGTGTATAATATCTTGTGTCGCATATGATAGTTAGATGAGTTTTTATACCAATTTTTGTTATATTTTTTTATCTATAGAAACTAGGGGTGTAAACGAGCTGAGCCTCGTTAAAAAATACCATTGTTCGTGCTCAACTTGTTTATATTTAGAACACACAAAATTTGTTCGTGTTTGGCTCGTTTTATTAGCGAGTCGAACACAAGCTATTCGCGAACAAAGAGTCGTTTTGACAACCCTAGTTGTGCAGTAGTAGAATGTTAGTTGAGACCAGGTAAACTAAACCATACCCTAAAGCGAGATTTAAATGTTTTTATTTATATTAAAATATTATTTAAATATAATTTAATATATTTTTACTTCCTTTTTTTATTAATAATTTTAATTGATTATAAATCTTTGTAGCCTTGTAGATAATTAAATTATTTTAATATACTTCGCATTAATTTTATGTGTGTGTGTGTATATATATATATATTGAAAGATCAAAAAGGCTAATATTTAAATAGAAAGAAAGATACAGATACAATGTGTGGGAGGGTCCAAGCATGGTACCCTGCCCACACAAAAATCACAAATGGTTCCAAAACTAGAAAAATACATTATATGGGGGTTCATCAGGGCCATTAGACACCACCTGTCTGGTAGTATCCTCCCCAGGTGGAACTAAAAAACTAAAATGTCCAGAGCAGTGGTTCCACAGCAGTGGGGTTAGACCCATCCTTATTCACTTGAACATTCGATTTCAAATTAGGATGACGTTTGTGGCATTTATCAAGGACATAACCAAACATCTTATAGTGGGTACAATATGGGAGTCTGTGCTCCATGACAGTTTGTTGTCAATAACAATTATGGGTTGTGCCCGACCAGACTTCAATAACATCAGGTATAGTAATATCTCTTTCCACAAGTATTCTGGTCATCGAGGGTCTGGTTAGGTTGAAAGTAGGCAGATCTAGCTTCAAAGGATCCCCAAGAATGACCCCAAAAGAGTGGAGAACCTGATGGTGAAAAAAATGCAGCTTGAGACCAGGTAAACTAAACCATACCGATACAGTGGGAGTTTCATGATTTGTGTCAAAATCCGGAGAGCACTTGAGTAGCTTCATACGTTTACCAACAATGTTAAGATATTTTTTAGAGAAAATCCGAGTGCAGTCTTTAGGCACGGTTAACTGAATCAAAACATGTCTCCCATCCATGAGCGTCCATGAGCACACTTTCCACTTTCTTGCTAATTTGAGGTCATCAAATTTTTTCCTGATAACCTCTATAGGCGGGTGTCTCGGGGGTCTCCACTAAAATTTTTCAATTAGAGCAAACTTGAATTTGTCAGTCAAGGTTAAAATTTCTGACTCAAAGAAAAAGAGTGTTGTCTTCTCACTTTTCTTGCTTGCATTCTTAATAAAGGAGCAGTCACATGTACCATCACGATTCTCCTTATAATTGAAGGGGAACACAACCGTCGTCTCCCCCTGAGGATTACCCACAACGTTGGCAAATGAGATTTTTGTCAGGTTCAACCGAAGAAGAAGGAAGCTCCATCACAGCAAGTAGAAGCCCTGCAAGTCGGGCAGAGGGCCGAAGAAGTCTGGGTGCTGTGCAGAAGACAGTTAATCGCAGACAGGAACTGCAAATGAGCTCGACAGAGTCGAAATCTCAGTTTGACAAAAGCCGCGCAAAAGAACCGCGGCGAGACGACGCTGCAGAAGCAGGAAACGAAGCCGCAGAGCGCGATCAACCCTACAACGAGCAGTGAACACAGGCGCAGCTCGACGAAGCAGACGATGGAAACAGAGGAGCGTACCCCCTTCTTCTACGATAGTGGAATTACAGCAGCAGAGAGGCTAGAGTTCGCCGTGAGGCGAAACCCTAGCACAGTTCGACGAAGCAGATATATATATATGGATATCTAATGCAGCTTTCATTATCACCAACATTAGAAGAGAACCGACATTAGAAGAGGAAAGGGCTAAATCATGAGTACTATACTCAACCGAAATTTTAGGTGAATGTGGACTTGGTTTTTTTTAGCAGCTTTTGGCTTATTGATCAAAAGA